AAAAAAATCAAATTGATTTTGATATGGAACTATTTGAGGTATTTATATGATAGCAGTGAGAGCTCAACTATAATATTTTTAGTTTTGAATATCATTAGAAGTTTGTGAGAGCACATTATTGGATCTTAATTGCCTTCTTAAAGAATAAAGTGTCTGGTATAAAGAACTTGTTCTTGGGATCTTGTTCCTGTAAAAGGAATAAAGCACAATAAAGAACCTAAGGAATTTTTCCTGTCTTTTGCTGATTTTAATGGCAATTCTTATAGTTCTGTTAGAGTTGGTGGTTTATATTAACCCCTGTAAAATTCTACATGAAGCCCTGTTTTCAACTGGGAGGCCAGACTATCACTATAACAGCTTTTTAATCCTTAACTTTGCTATTTAAACAACACCGAGTACTATATTGGAATATCTGCACTAAGTGTAGTTTGGGGAAAAAATTTCAGGGATATCAATCCCTTTCCGTGTATTCTGAAGTAAACCTCGGCTGAATTTCAGTGTTTAAAATGATTCACTGCATCACTTAAGACAGACAGAAAGTGCAGAAGAAATTCTAGGAACATAAAATCATGTGGTAAAACACAGTATTTTCAGAAAGGGAACATTTGGACGTCAGAAGATGATAGAGTGAAGATTGTTCATGGGATGTTAGCTCCTTTTAACTATGATTAGGTTATAATTTTTATTTAGGCTGATTACATTTTGTGGAAGGAGGAAAAATTCCAACACAAATGGCATAGTCACAGTGGAGCAGAGATGGATGAGAACATTTTAAACAAATATTTGGCCATATCTATTGTTCTTATGAGGTAGATAATCTCAATTTGCACCTAGTTTACTTCATGGGGAACTAGACTTTTGGTGAAGAGGTAAATAGGGGAGTTGGTGGGAAAAAGGTTCTTATAGAATAAGCTTTTTATGAAGCATATTTAGGAATATCCTGAGTCTCTGCCTGAGAATTGGTATTTATGATGAGAAATAGTAGCATTAGCTTATGTTAGGTGGATAGAAGTACTAATATCTGGTTTCTGGTTTCTTTAATTGGAAAAATTTTATCAAGGTTTTTTTTTTTAACAAAAAATATGTTAGTTTCTCATCCTTCTGTTTGAGATGTTGGTTATAGAAATTTATTTTTTGCAGCTGACAAATTATTTCTGTTATAGTAAAGTACCAAGAAGGTAATTAAAATGTTGTATGTGTTTGCTTTAGCTATATTCATATTTAATAATATATAAGGTACATATATTTTGATAAATACATAAACATACATCTCTGATGAAAGATTCACAATAATTTCTTTTCTTCTTCTTTATGGAGTTACACAGAATGACTTTTAGGAATTAGACTGTAGCAATATGACTAATGTACTGGTTATCTTTGTCAGAGTGTCAGTTAGTTTGAATTCTGTAAAGCAATTAGTGCAGAATAACACTTCCCTGTGGTCAGAGGTACATGTTACAGAATTGTGAGTGCTATCTCACTGGATTTGGCTTATTTTTTTCTGTGTAAGACAATATAAATTTTTTAAATTTATTTTTATTTTTATGGCTACAGCTGTGAACATAAATACTGCAATATGCTCTCAGGCACATGGTGTGACTCTTGGGGTTGTCCTGTGCAGGGCTAAGAGCTGGGCTCAGTGATCACTGTGGGTCCCTTCCAACTCATCATATTCTGTGATTCTGTGAATATTTATATGTATTGAGGCTAAGATTGTCAAGGCGTACTAAATGAACTATGTGCTGACTAATTTTTTTTTCATTCCTCAGATTGAAATGATAATTTTTTCATCAACCTGTGTATTTGTCCAATTTTTTTTTTTTAAGTGGGTTATTATATGCAGGGGAATGCATCATTGCATTGTGTAACTGATTGCTTCACAGACAAGTGATGGTCTCACCTTTCTCTTAACACATGCTGGCATATCAGATAATAGTCTGTTCATACCTTGACCTGGATATGTTACTGACTATACAAGCAACAAAAAATGGACACAGTTTCTTAAGCTTTTCTTCTGGATTTCATCCTTTCATATGTAATATTTTTCTCATCTTTCTTCCTTTCTCTAGAGCTATTCTGTCTGTCAATACTTTTTTTTTTTTCCACTTACTAAGAGTTTCAGATTCTTTTGTATTCCTTGTTGAAGCCTTGTTGGTCCATCTGTCAGATGAGCCTTTAGGAGATAACAATTTCACTTTGCAGAGCCCAAGAAGCTGTCATAGATATAGTTAAAAATTCCTGCTTGCCAAATCGGCGTATTTCTTTGAAAAACACTGAATCCCACCATTGAAAATAATTGTTTCGTAAAATTTAAAAAGCCACCAGACTTGAAAAAAAAAGCATAAATGTGCAAATGACATACAAGAATGACTCATGTAATGCATTTTCCATACATTTCCTGAGGAGAATTGCATGGTTGAAAATATGGTGACTTGAAACTTTGTTATACTTATTATAAATTTAATTTAAAAATACCTTTTCCACAGACTTAGTTTGAAAGGCTTTCTTGATATTGCTCAGAGTTTCCAAGTCAGTTAGTTTGTTATGGTAACAGAACAACAATGATGTCTGCATTGCAGTACATGGAAGTGCATGTAAGAGATCAGCCATAGATTCAGCATTTCTTTTGGCAAGATCAGTACACTTACATTCCTATAACATTTCTTTGGAATTGAGTGTGAGTTTGGTGGACCAATAAACTGAGGTGTGGAGAATATGAAGTGCGTATTTTGATCTTGCTCTTTGTTTTCTCTGACTGTCCATCCATTGGACTCTTAAGCAACTATTTTCAGTTTCAGAGCATTTGGAATAAAGGTATCTTTATTTTTTCATTGTGCTACTTGCAAAAATGTGGAATGCTAAAATCTATAATCTGTCTGATTTTTGTTTCAGTATTTTATATTGATGAAGACAGTAATATAGGTATGGGCGGTTTTTGGTTTTGTTTTTGGTTTTTTTACTTTTTTACTAGTTAGTTTTTGTACATTGCTAATAGTTGGAAACCACAATTTACTGGGGACCTCTAATATGCAAATTGCACCATCCAGAAGTGGTCACCTGGAAGGGTGATAAGGTATTTTGGTAAATGACCTCAATTTGTGGTCCTGAGACTTAAGTACCTAAGCCTTCATTCAGTGTTTTTCTCTGAATTATGGAAATTATAAATAAATAATCTTGGGGGGTTTTATTGTAGTAAATCTCAGTTATATGTTTACATGGAAATAAGTAGATTTTTTTTCTTACATACTGTACAGTGATTTGACAATGTTTCAGACTACGAGCATGTGAACCTCCCTTCCACCAACCGTTTCTTAATTAAAATTTATCTCATATATTATCCATTTTGTTTTCAATTTTTTCCAGTCACCAGTGGTTATAAATGTCATCATAGGATCCTAAATAATATGTATAATTTAAGAAGCCAGGTCGCATGGGTTGACATTGCATTGTTTTTATTTTTATTTACTTTTTAACTGTAATTTCATTACTTAAATAGAATCCACTCTGTGATTTGCAATGACATCAGTTGTTTAGTTGCTGCTTTTCCCTTAGTAGGAAAAGTAAAAATAGATTTGCTAACCTTTAAAAATACCTCTGATACATATCACTGATGTATTCCACTTTATATTTCTAGCTTGCTTTTATAAAAGAATTGGAAGACTTGCATGTAAAATTCTTGCATTTACCAAGGCAGACCAAACCAGTAAGAGAATAATGTTTTTTAATTAAAGCCTCTCAAACATTTCCTTTCTTTTTTAAATGGTTGTATTGTTAGTTTCGTTAGTGATGTAAACAGAATAAATTTAATTACATAACAGTAGAAGCAACTAAGTGAAGTTAATTTTGGTCTTAAAATCTGAACTTCTGTGTGGGGCTTCAGAGTATAAGAAAGATATAAAGTCCATATATGCTTTGTTAGGATTGTGCTGTGCAGGCATCCTGTGAAGGTTTCTGGCTCTCTAAACAGGCAGAGCAAGATTCTATGAAATAGGTTTTGTTATTCATTTTAGTGGGCTGTCTTTTCAAACAATGTATTGCAAACCATCTCTTCCATTCCAGTAAGGCTCTTTATGATAAAATTAAATTAAAAGAACCTTACGTGGCATAAAAACTTTTAATGTTTTAAGCTGTTACTTTAATTAAAACATGGAGATTATTCTTAAAAAAAAACCCCAAACCCAAAAAACCCAAACAAATCCACATATATGAAGGTTTTCTGGTTCTCTTTACTGTTTAATCCATATTATTGTTATTTTTGGTTCATCTCCAAGGCACATTGAAACATTGTATACCCCTGAACTTAATTAGGTTAACATTTCATGTTTGTAGGACAGCTTTTTAGATTTTGTAATGGCTCTACTGTGAGGTTTCAGTATCTTGTTCTGGTTTCTGACACCTCTGCAATCAGGTTCCTATTCTATGTATTAATTCAATAGTTAACATTCCATAGTGTGACACGGAATCATTTATTTATGTAGTTATAAGGCTAATTGTGAAATCCACATGTTCTTGTAAAACAGTTCATTTATGTCATGTAGCTTTAAATTCCCATCACGGGAATTACTTCCTGAACTTCACCCCTTCATAAGGTTGAAGCAAACATTTGCTGGAACTAAGTATTGTGTACATAAGAGTAGACTAAGCTTGTCTCTAAGGCCTTGTGACCTTTTCGATTTTTGCTCTGGGTGTTTCTATAGTAGCTGTCACCTTTGCCTTTTTGGGTTGTGATTTTTTTTTTGTTTGAACAAAATCCTTGCTGAGGACTAATGTAAAATCATAAAAATGGATTCATTTGGGATTAATTATGTAAAATTAGTTGTAGTAAATTGTATTTTGACCCTAGCCCTCTTTATCGTATCTCTTGTCTTTGAAAATATTCCCTCATGTTCTACAGCATTTTTTCATCTCCTTCCTTGTATTTGAGATTGTATTTAAAAACGATAAGGTTTCGAGCAAATTGTGTGCATAGTAACAGATGTAGCTCTTATATTCTCTGGTAGTCAATTTCAAGACCAACGCTGACAAACTTGCAAATTAAAGGAAGAAAATCAGGTATGAGAAAATCTGATTTCAGCCCGCATGTTTAGGAACCTTCTGTGTTCTCTTTCTTTCTCCAGGCAAGAACAAGTGGAACACCACAAGGTGACATAGCTGTGCTTTTGTAAATACTCCGTTATGCTGTATTAATAAAATTATGCAGCAAATTCAAGAGTTAGAATTAAAGGAGGAAAATTGCTTTCAACAGGTACATTTATGGTTGAAAATGGTCAAGTGCTTTTTATCTTCATAGGAACATGCATAGTTAATTATGATTACTGTGTTGATTTTTATAAAATTTTTAACTTCATATCTTATGTACTCCCCAAAAATAGTGCCCAGGAAATTAATTTACTAGTCGTGATATATTTTTAATGCACTTAACAGTATTGGCAAATGGAACTATCTTATTACAATAAATATAGTACAATATTATAATGTAATGTCTTTGTATCATAAAGATTAATAGATTCATGTATGATGATTCAGAGTCAAACTGATTCAGTGATATCATCTGCAAAATAGTTTTGGTTACTAATCTTGAGTAGATAGTCAAATGGAGCTGTGTGCCATTTTCTGTCATTTACAGTAAGAAATGTTTTTTCATGAGCAGTACTTAACAAGTCCTTGATTGAAAAGTTTCTTTAACATGGAAAGACGTGAAAATGTTGTGGTTCTTTCTATAGCTGTACAAGATGTTTTCTTAGCCTATACAGATTCACACAAGGGAATAGAAGCAAGAATAAAGGAAAGTTAAAAAATGGGTAGGTAGATGAAGAAACAGCCCTATATATATATATATATATATATATATATATATATATATATATATATAATTTTAAAGTATTGTAGAAGCTTCCCATTAGCTCCTCTGAGAACATGATTAGTATAATTTAAATAATTCACTTTTACTGGAAAAGTGTTTCCCAAATGTTAATAAATTTTGCATATGTCTACACTGCAGCAAGAAGATCTGATAGCTGCCTGCACAGAGAAGTTATATTTAAATAATTTATCTGCAATACTGGCAGTAGTGTCATCATAGCAGCACATCAGTAAAGCTGTCTTAGATTAGTATTCCACAAATGCTGTTAAATACTTTGCAGGGAAATTTCTGCAACTGCAACAGAGATGCTAGAAGAATCCAAGGTACATGAACTACAGTCACATCTTAATTTAAAGTATAGGCATTATTTTGATTTGAAAATTTATATTGCCTCATTCACCTTTGTTTAATATAATGTGAAAACAGTGGAATTATTTCAGTGTCATATTTTTGTCATCAATATGCATGAACTGGGTTGACATATCCAGATGTTTATTCATTTTAATGTTAGCTTAACTTGTTTCTCTAAGTCTCATGCATATTTTCCACATCTTTTCTAAGTTCTTGTTACTAAATATACAAAGATTCAAAATAGCCTGAGTCCTTTGGATGGTGACATCAATTTACTCTTATTTCAGCTTGACAAAACAATGGGAGATAAGTAATTAAGAAAGGGAGTAGGAAAAAAGTTTGAATGAAATGGCTATTTCTTCATCACATGCTGTAATAACATGGGAAAAAACTCCAAGATTTTAAAATTGTTTTCTTTTCTGGGTTTTCTATAATTCATACCATTATTAAATGCATGATTTTTGTGTTTTCAGGGTAGTTTGCTAGCTATTTATGGTTAGTTCAAAAAACTTTTTGTGTTTGAGTGACAAAGTTCCCTTAAATCTCACTCTAGTGTTGATAACTGTGTATCTTTAAAGTTAGAGAGTGAGAGAGGATGCTTGTTAAAATCAAAATAGAACATAGATCCTAAATGAAAAAGAGCACATTAAAGAATTGCGCTATTTTTTTCTAGATACTGGAGATATCTAGAACATATACAGAGTTTAGAAAGGTTATAAAATTAAAATTAATTTATAAATGTAAATTTAAAATGGAATTTTGAAACTAAAAATTCATGCAGTTTTTTTCTAAATTTTACATGTTTTTTTTCCTAAGCCTAGGATACAGTACAAGACAATACAATACAGGTATATATAAAAGCCAGGTACTCAGAAAGTACACAAAATAATTCTGAGTCTGTGACTTTAAATTTCTCTTGATGCAAGGTACTTTATGACATAGTTCTAGTTACATTCTACTCTTCAGACTCCTCTTTTAATCTTTGTATCTCATGCACTGAGCTTGCTGTCCTGGCTGTTTTGCTCAACAAACCCTGTATTTCCCTGCATACTTTTACTTCATGTAAGAGACATCTATGAGTTATTCTGTGTTTACCTACTTATCCAATTCCTGTTTATCCAACTCCTGCTTCTGTATCTAATTTGATATCTCTTCAGGTCCCAGTTTTCCTGCCCAATATCTTCCTATTTCCTATTACTGCACAGATTTTTTTTCTTATTCCCTGTACTTTTGATGTATTTTCTGTTGATCTAGGAAGACTTCAGTAGTATTTCTCTCAGTCTGTTTTTGGCGTAGACTTGTTGTCTGATTTTCTTCATGGCAAATGGACTATTTTGTGGAGTTCCTCAAAGTGAAGTTCTTTCAAATATATATATCTTCACACTATGCATGTATGTGTGATGTAACACTGTGACTGCTGGTTCCATTTCATCTTAGCTGCATCCGAGTGACCTGCATGTGCCCTTTAGGCTGTACATGTGGGCATAAGCGGGTGGTAGTTATCTTTCGTTCCTTGTTTTCAGCTCCAGTAGGCTAATGAACCCCTTACATTTTCATGAGAGCTATGATTTGCTTGTGTTCTTCTTTGGTTCCTTGTGTTACTTCTTTCCCCTTCTCACTTACAGATTAATTTTGTCTTGATCTCGTTTCAACAAAGCCCTGCTCATCTCTGCTTTTGGGTCTCTCAAATTTCAAATGCCTATCTGTTTGAATCCAATTTCATCCTTATGCCTTGATTGTATTTTCTTCCTATATCTAAAAAAAAAAAAATCTTCTTTCTTTGTTGTTGACCCTCAACTGTTGAGGGTCTCTTAAACCGATAAAGCTAAACCTATATCTGATGTGCTGTGCAAAGGACCTGTTTCTGCGCAGATAGAGCGCTAGATGCTTCTGCCGCTTAGAAGAGTCTGAAAAGTAAAGCACATATTGCGCCTGCATGTTTAGAACTTGGAAAGAATAACAGTTTTTCTACAACAGTTTCTCTTTGGCAAATTCTTGGTATGAGGACAAAAACTGAAGATCTGTGTAAGTACAAGATGTAAAGAAATCTGTTTCTTGTAATTCTGTAAAGAAATATGAAATGCATTTATGTGGGAATTGTGATATTAATAATTCTTCTGTAAGACTTGCAGTTATTCCATTTAATTATTCCATTTAAGTATCTAAATGTCTAAGATTTAAAAGAGGAAATTTTGACTTAGTGAAAGTAATGTTTATTTAACAAAGCTAATTTAAATTCAGTCATTTTTTTGTGAAAGTGGTTTTTACCCACAGGATAACAAAACAGTTCAATGTTGACTCTGTTGAAGATATCTGGTCGTCATTATCCACTAAGTTGGATTTTAAAGAAGCTGATGTAACTTATGAAGGTAAAAATATTTCATCATACTCAGCTGAGTGATAAAAGTTACTTATCCTCTTTTAGTATGTACTTTGCATTCGTAATAGTGGTCGCTTGTTCCCTGCTCCATGTCTTATGTAAATGATATGAGTATACTTTGAAATCTGTGTGTATCATCTGTCAATCTGAAAGACACATACATTTTAAATGGTATATTAAATATTATTAAGTCATCCTATTTACAAAAAGATAATTTGCATTTCTGTATTTAGATCCATACTGTGTTTTAACCTATCTGGGATTTGAACCAGCTAAACTAATTATGTCGGTTGCTGAAAATTCTAGAATTTTTTTTCCATTTATTTTCTGTAAAACAAATAACTGCATTGCTGTTATGGGGTATTTGTAGCATAATTCCGATAAAGAATTCTGTTTTATACAGTTTGTGTCTTTAGTCAGAGTATACATTTTTTAATTAAGTTTTAAATATTAAAGAGATTATGTGCATCTTTTAAACCAGTGTGCAACCTTTTAAGTACTACTAGCCTGAGGCAATCCCATCTGCAGTAAATTGTGTGATAAAATTTTTGTTGACAGTAGTGAAGCCAAAATTTCACTCCAGATTTTAAATAGTTTTCCTTGTTTTTAATGCTTGCGGTTTTTAATCAAAATAATTTAGGGAATCAAAGCAGAAATGTCTTGGACTCTGATATAACTCCCATTTTTTTATAGATCAGGGCAATGGATGATGACCTGAAAGAATCTTTTATTAAAAAAAAAAAACAAAACAAACCAAAAAAAACCAAAAAACAACCAACAAAAACCAAAACAAAAAAAAAAAACCCCAGGCGTTTTTCATACCCATATTTCACAGAATGGAATGATTTTGTTTATCACAAGCAAAACAGTGCTGTTGAGATATTACACTGAATATTCTTAGGTCTCCAAAGACTTTAGTGGAGTAATTGAAATTAAATAAGTATTCTTGAAAAAACCGAGACAATTACAAACTTGTATTGTTATTTGGATGATTACTTACCCAAGCAAAGAGGCAAAGATGAAAATTTTGTGCCAAGGATATTAATACATTTTTGTTGCATTTTGCACTGGAATTAAGCTGGAGGAAAATGATACTGAAAGTTAACATAACTGAAAGTTATGTTTGTAACCAGTTGTGCTTGCTTTGATAGAGGTGAAGAGGCTAGCTTTATTCTGAGGAAGAAGTTGGAATTAAGAGTGTGTGTTTAAGCCTTCGTAAGGAACAATTATAATGTATTTTTAAAGACAGAAATTTAACCAGTTGTGCTTGCTATGAACAGGCCAACTTGCTGTTGAGAATGTAGTTCGACTAAAGAGCATATGATTAAGCTTTCATAAAAAATATTTTTAATGTATTTTTAAAGATGGGAAAGACGTTAACTTTGAAGCAGGAAACAGAAGCTTTGCTATTGGAAGTTACTGAGCTAATTAAGCAGCTGGAGGCTGATCGTGAGAGGAGGGAGGAAAAGCTTTGGAGTTGGAGAAATAGTGAAGGAAAAAGCTTGGCATGAAAATTGATTGTATGTCACTTTGGAGGCTTCAGCAACTCCTCACAGACATACAGAAAGGTATTAGTATTGAAACTAAGAATATTTGTTATTTTTCAGTCAATTCATTACTGAGAGAAAGAATTATGATATGACTACAGTTGTGTTTACTCTAATAGGAGTACAATATTTACTCTTCTGAATTTGGTATACTTGAATAAATATCTGGAAAAAAAGAGAAAAGTATGAGAAATAATATAAGTGAAAGGAAGACACTTGAGATGATAATAAATATTATGTTTGGGGCAAGAAATAAGAAACTGAAACATAATTCTAAAAAAATGCATTTGAATTACATTATAGATTAAACCAGAAACAAATAAACAATTTGTTTTAAGAAAAATTAAACCATGATGAATTTGAACAAAGTACTCAAGTATTTAATAGATGTTGACATAACCATTGATAGGTATCCTTGAAACCCCAGATTCTGGGGATGTTTACTATGACCTTTTGTGATGAACAAGCATCCACACAGTAGAATTAAAGAAAAAAAGAGGTGGAGAGGATGAAAGGAGCTATTTAGCAATTTGCTGTTTGTGTTCTGGCTCATGGGCAGAAGCAGGTACTCTCTGAACTTAGGCTTTTAGAAAAGCAGTGTAATTTATCACAGCACATTCCTGAATATAAAATCACGACTGTACTCTAGTGCATATTCTGGTGCACATCACCCTGAGGTTTTTGAGAAATATCTCACAGTCTAGAGTGTGGTGACAGTGCAAGAGTCCATAACTGTGTTTACTGATGGGTAAACATTAAGAGAAGATCAGTGTATAATGAAGGCAAGACAGTCCCAAATGCTTCCTCCCTTTGTCCACGAAGGAAAAATGTCAGATAGTGCACATCCTTAACAATATATGAGAAAAATATTTGTTTGTTTGTTTCAGCCAATGGCTAACTCTTGACTTGGAAATTAGAAACCTGTGTTAAGGTGCTACCAGTTTGCAGAGATTGCTTTTCTTAAAAGCAATTGCCTCATAAGGACAATTTAGGATGCCTTAAAAAGAGAGGAAGACATTGAATAAACAATCAGAACTAAAAATCATTGACAGGATAGAAAATGCTTTCTGGAACAAATCCTGTGGCAACTGAAAGGTCAGTTTTATAGAAGTAAAGAAATGCAATAAGAGAAGGTTGGTAATGTAATCTTCATTCTTCAGCACAGTGGTTCAGGATTTTTGCTGCAGAGGTGTTACTTTTTACTTTTGATGTTCTTACCTATAGTGAATGCAGCTGTAAATAATCTTTCTGTGTTGCTATGCATTTCTATTTCTTTTGCTTTACTGTTTAGCATTTTCTATAAATATCAAAAGTTTAGAATAGTCGAATATAATTAGCACATTTTCAATTCTGTTAATATAAGCAGTGATACGGGTTTTTTTTTTTTTTTAAGCAAATAAAGCAGCATGAAATTTGGCTGTGAAAATTGACCAATTTTTTCTCCCTTGATTTATCAGTGGCCTATCAGTATGGTGTCGTGTCCTTGGAGTAAATTTGTAATTTTCAGGATTATAAAATTTCATAATATTATCTATAAGACAAAAAATATGCTAATATGGATTTGAGGAGAAAGAGAAAAGACTCTCAGGGATGTTAAAATTATCCCTAATCTAAGTATTACAAACCCAGGAGATTAATTATGAGTTTGTGTGACCTATTCAGAGTAGACACTGAATCTTGTTATTTCTTCTGACTTACTTTGATTTCCATTGTTCCTAACTCCTGCTGCATCTGTGTCCTGTAGTGCACTCAGGTAATTACAGTGATGTAAATTGTGATGATTAAATAAAACCTATCTTCAGAAATTACCTTCTCTGAAGTAGAACAAAAGTTCAGTGTAAACCACGTTTTATTCATCGTAATGTTAGACATCACTTTGTATGATGAAGACAAACCACTTTGCAATGTCTTTCTAAATTTTAGTAGAAAATTACAATTTTGTGAATTTGTGATTTATGTCTTGTTAACACAGCAAAATTTATCAACTGTTAAGGGACTTCATTGAATATTCCACAGCTACTTTCAGAAGTATTTTTTACATCAGTAAAACATGCTTCTCTCTCTCACTCAAAAGATGTTATCTGATTTTTTTTCTCATCTGATAATTCTACTTTACTTTCCCTACTTTCATAGGAATAAGTTTTCCATCAGCTGCTACATAACACCGTCTCTAATAAGTTTTTTTTTTCCTTAACAAGATATAATGTATGGTCTTATTCGGCAACCAGTGGTCTAGAGACATATTTTCTTGTAAAGACCCATTGGAAATTTATACTAAAGTCAGAAAATTAAATGCAGCAAACTGAATTAAGACTGACATACTTCTGTGTGGCAACATGAATATGTTTTGTTTGTTTGAGCTTGTATCCTTAGTTTAGCTTTTTTGAAACCGTGTTTAGTTCAGGAAGTGTCCCTGAACTAAAAACAGTTTTCTTATTAAAAGGATGTTGGATCTATACTTGGTCTGTTCTTCCTGTGCATCAACATATGTCATACTTCAACATAGCTGGAGGCTAGGAAGCTTGGTAAAGCTGTTCTTGTGTCATAATAGCCTCCTCTAGACATGCCTTAAGGCTAGATGTTTTCATTTCCTTCATAAACCAAAACCACCCCTGGCTTTGAACATTTGCTTGATTTACATACTAGGATAATTAAGTATGAGTTTATAAAACAGTTCTAATCCTAATGCAGTATTTGGTAATCTTTTGTAACCAATGTCCTTTCTTGGCCTTCAAAGTAGTCCACAGTTTTAGCATTATGATAACATGTTTCCTAATCTCACTAGGTATTCTTGTTGTCATTCACATACTCACATTTTGTTGTGCTAATTATCTTTTTAACGGAATATGAAATGTGTGTTCAAGACACCTTGGAGCTACGATGGCATTTTCATAGTAAAAGCTGTCAGCTGCCACAGGTACAGAACCAAATACTTAAGAAACAGCCAACAGAGTGATTTGGGAGGATATAGACTCCACGAAGAAACACAGCCCTCTGCTGGAAGAAAAGTTGAATCTAGAGGGTGAAATATCTGAAGGATATGTTACTGCTGTGTGAAAAGGTAACTACAAACTATATGAAGATGTTTCTTTTAGAACCTTTCCACTGCATATGTTCAAACCCTTTCAGAAAACAACAGTCTTTTGGAAGTATAAAAGTCTGTTTTAAATTTAGTATGCACAGACTGTGGACCTTGTGCCCATACCACTACATACAGGCACTCAGTGCAGACAGAATCCAGGGAGGATAATGCTCTTGGCCTTTAACAAATGTCTCTTAAGCATATGTGGAATGTAATTCTAACTTAATAAGTTGATTTCATGGGGGATTTTTCATGGGAAAGATAGAAGGCACATATCTGATATTTGCAGAGATTCTGCTTACATTTCTCACAGACAACTGTGTTTCAGAATATGGAGATGTCAAAAAAAAGTTTGCAAGATTCAATTATTCTTAGGTACTAATGTACATTTTTCCTAATTTATTTGTTTATGGTATTTATTGATTGTAATATGGATAATAACATATTATTTTTATAATAAATGCCTACTGTCAGGCCAAAATACTTCTAAAATAAAAAAGTTAATTGCCTTTTACACAAATAGTATGACAATTATCATGAATCAGTTCTAACTTATGAAACAGCTCACAGTCCTATCAGTGCTATGAGATATATTTGAAATACTAATTAAAAACCAAGTTGGTAACTTTTTTTAATTTTATAACCTTTTTTCTTTAATACCTTAAAATATATTGTATGCAGTTAAAATATTGAGATCTACTAAAATACAACTCCGCAAGTAGACCTAAAATATTTTTTCCTAAAGGCTATTTTGAATAAATACTTTTTCAGAGTAGTTTTTTCTGCATATCATAAGAAGATAGATTTGGTGTTACTGTATTTATATCTATATATTTATGAGCACTTATATATTTGTGTTTATCTTATTTGTATATTTAATTTCAACAGAATTTCTAATTGCCAAGTAAATTATCTGTGGCTTTTATTGTGCTACAATTCATGTAGTTAGTTACTCAGCTTTGGTTTTTCCTCCCACAGCCTTAAAAAAGCAGATGATATTTAGTTTTGTTTGCAATTAAACAATTATTTATTCTTCCATCTCTTTTTTAAAATCCAGAGAACTAGTTTAAGCAGTAACATGCTAGATTATAATAAATATTTGATATGATTTTATTTGTTTATATTTGTAATATTTTAAGAAGCAGAGACAACAGACGTGCATATCTCTATTCGAGAGTTGTTACAATCTGAGCGTCCCAATACTATTAAAGACATTGAAAATTGCAGTCACTGTCAACATTGTCTCAGGCTCCTTCTTTACAAAGGTGACTGCCAGGCTCAGACAGCCTCTGTTACATGTTTCAGTTATGATTTTGTCAGATTCCTGACTGAAACCTCAGTGGCTTCTTTGCACATTATTTCTTTCTTTCTGCTCCAGAGGTCACTATCTTCCCATGAAAGTAGCCACCTTTTCAAAATGATTCCAAACTTTTGTAACAGAATGAAAAACCTCTTGCTAACATTTCATTATATTATGCAATTTTACAACACGTTCTGTTGTTTTTCCTGGGACTTCACCTTTAAACATCATTTTTTAAACTGGCAAGAATCAGTCAAATCATGAAGTTATATTTTCTTTTAAACATTATGTATGATTTTTATATAACATCTTTCAGAAAACTTGTTTTATTTTCTTAGGTATCAAAAATATACAGTGATGTTCATTGGGAATTGATGGAAATACAAAAGGCAATGAAAAGAACTAACCTTTAGATTATCAAGTAGGGCAATAGTAACAATTGCTCACTGCTAATAAACAGTCAGTGACAAGAATTCTCTCCTTTCTATTGCTAAATATACAGACAAGGAGTCAGCACCAAGAGTAACTATGCCAAAGAACAAGAATACCAAGTATTTTGAAATTTGGTAGGAGGTTGCACTCAACTTTGCTCCATATGCCAATGGCTCAATGCCAGGTTTTATTTGGCAAGGTAGCAAGTGACACAGTGACTCTTTTCCATTTGAGGTGAGGAAGGTTTACAGGCATAATTGAAAGACATCAGTAAATTTTCAAAATAAACATGAGCGGCCATAGCAGGTTTTTCAAAAACTCTCCATTGTAATTATGGAGTATATAAATTTCATATAAGTCATGAAATTTGGTCCATCTTATTAATTCAGAACTACTGGGATTCACTGGGAATTTATATGCCGGTTCCATAATTCAACACTCTACCTGAGTTGGGTCAGCATGCACAGTTCTGACATTCCAGAGGGTTAATGTTTTTTAGCCACAGCAGTGGCTAAAAACCTGTCCTGCTCACTGATGCTTCATTCAAGGAAGTAAGACTAATGCTAATGGTTGAGTTTTATGTGCAAACTTTGTAACCTCATTTCAGTAAATGTTAATTTCTCATCCATTTCAAGGGACTGTCCCGTGTAACTCCCATCCCCCGTTTCTTCTAAAGGACCATTTTCATTCAAATTCACTACAGAGTTGGCCTCATTAGTTTACCTAAGAGCTGTAAAGGAGCAATTACAGAGCTGAAGAAAAGTTTCTTGTTACTGAATTTCTTAATTTTTTTTAGGAAATGAGGACTTTGGAAGGGTATCTGTTATCTGAGGATCCATTTATCTTCTCAGGTTAGTGCTACGTCTCTTCAAAATGAAGACACTGCAATTCTCTTACTCCAGGATGTCTGTTTCCGTATACTGATCCACTCAGCTCACAGGAAGTATGGTGAACACAATATACTCCCTGACCATTTGTGGAGAAGAATAATGTTTATTGGATAAACAGTGGAATTTCATAAAGCTCCTGGCAGCAGCATTATATTCCTCAAAGAGACTGGCCATCTGTGTCTGCTAGACAATTGGGTGGTTCTAGAACACTGTGACACCCTTTATGCTTCCAAATGTGACTATGAACTACAAGAGCTACTTTTACCCCCAGCACAGGTAGAATACCTGTAAAAGCTGTTATTCACTTCTGCTCACTGGATGCTTGTTTGCTGAAGATGATTCTCATCTGCATGTATCTAAGAATCTTACACCACATGTCAACCCATCTTTGCCAAGAAAACACTGAACTCTAGAAGTTGTTACTGTCAGAAATAAATGTAGTAATTTTTGTTGTTTACAGGCCAGCAGCATGCTTGCCATACTTTCTAAAAAGACAGAAGGTAAGCAGTCTGAATAATTTATTGTCATGGTTTAACCCCAGTAGGCGGCTGAGCCCCACACAGCCGCCCGCTCGTTCGCTTCTTCTGAGCCAGGATAGTGTGGAGAAGCAGAAGGGTAAAAATGAAAAAACTCATACATTGAAATAAATACAGTTCAATAGAAAAAAACAAAAGACACACACACACAAGCAAAGCAAAACAAGGAATTCATTCATGAGCATTCATCTACCATGGGCAGGTAGGTGTTCAGTAGTCTCCACGAAAGACAAGCTCCATCACGTCTGAGCACATGCTATGAAATATTCCTTTGGTCATTTGGGGTCAGCTGTCCAAGCTGTGTCCCCTCCTAATTCCTTGTGCCATCCAGCCTGCTTGCTGGTGAGGTGAGGTGTAGCCTTTGCTCCGTGTAAACACTGATAACATTCCTGCGTTATCAGCACTGTTTCCAGCACAAACCCAAAACATAGCGCCATACAAGCTACTATAAAGAATATTAAATGTATCCCAGCCAAAACCAGTATACTTATACACAGCTCATTGTAATTCCTGCATTCAGTCAGTGAAATGTCTTTTTTTGATGTACCAAATAGGAACTATTTAGCATGTATGTCAACTGCTTTTGCAATATGTGGAAGAATAAAATACAGTAGAATTTGGGGGTACCTTGGCCCCCTCCATGAAAGGACCCACTCTCAGAGGGCCATAAAGAAGAGGTCATAGTGGCTGTAGACATTTTCTCTTGTTTAAATTTTCTTTTAAGTTATTTCTTCAAGAAATAACTGTAATTACTAAATGTGATTGTTTCACTTAGTGTTTATGGTGCTCAATGCACCACAGTAAAGAGCTGCACCTGATTAAAATGGGGCAGTAAGTTGTATAATTTCCAGTTTCTTTAGATTATAACATGTTGGCAACTTTATTTCAAAAACTGGTTAGTGTTCAGGAACTTGAAACATCTCTTTCAGTCCCACAGAAGGAGTACTTGCTGCCTGCCTCAGAATCTTTACAATTAATAAGCCTTGAAGCACAAATAACGCTGACTTTTGCAAAAACAGAACACTCTTACAGTGTATTTTATGGTAACTATCAACATCAGGAAATCATTACTTTGGCTAATATGGCTGATCCTTTTGATGTCTGCTATCCAGGGGCTATCAGTGCTTGATAGTCAGATAGAGCAAAAACGTTACTGACACATTCCTGAACAAAGGAAGGCTGTTTAGATGCAATAATACTGTTTCTTTAAGATGTTACATCATTGTGGATCTGTTTGTCGTTGGCACTAAACAGCAGAACTAAAGAAGGATCATAGCTCTTTCTGTAATATGTTCATACCTTAATATGGGAGCAGGAGGCATCCTGGGTAACACGAGTTTACTCAAATGATGTTGCTGCTTGAGAACTTCCAGTCTTGCACTCATAAGATGTCTATGCACTTGTAATACAATCCAAACCATCTATGTCTCAGAAAGGATGAGTCAGTGTAGGACTAAAATTTGTATTTTTCTGTAAGAGGAATAGCTTAGCAATACTAGAGATCTAAGTATGTCTCTCTGACTTATTTCTTTTGATTCTGAGCTTTACAGTGAATTTCTTGGCCCTATTTTTATTGCATTCAGGATAATTTTGACATTATATTACAGGTATTTATGCTAATTATGTATATTTTTACCTCTAAGGTAAATTCACCATCAATACATTTATTTTTAGTTACTAAAGCTTAACCTCTTAATTTCAGAGCCTAATTTGCATTCAGGAAAGAATATTAGTACATGAAAAATTAAAATCATAGTCAGAGATATAGCTAAATTGGAAGTATTTTATCATACAAACCCTGAAACCAGAATTTTCTCATAACACTTGTCAAAGCTAGACTGACTTCTGAAAATAATTCTCCAATTATGTCTAAGCAAAAGAAGAGGCGTGTGAAATAATACATTTTTGATGTATATGAGCCTATGAATGCAAGCTTCGTGATGTCTCTACAATGTTTGGAATTTTAATTATAGCTTAAATATGTATATAGAGATGATCTGATCAAATACTCATTATCTCCTCCATGGGTTTCAGCTGAGAGAAATCAGACAACATGGGCCTTGATTCTGTAAGTTGTTAAGTTCATTGCAAACCTCTTGTTGCTTTTAATTATGGGAAAGATCAGGTACTGAGTAAGAAGTATTATCAAAAACGTTGTGTGATTTATTACTATTGTATTCAGATACTCTACAGGTTAGTTTAGTGTTTCACTGGCGTATTCAATGTTCTATCAACTTGTCTGAATTAGAAGCTGCTGGCAAAAATTGTTAGCAATGGTTATAGTGACCATTGCTGGTGGTGATTTTATTATGTAATACCAGAATAAAAAATGTTAAAACTATACTTTCTTTTCTCTTTCTTTCTTTCTTTCTTTCTTTCTTTCTTTCTTTCTTTCTTTCTTTCTTTCTTTCTTTCTTTCTTTCTTTCTTTTTCTTTCTTTCTTTCTTTCTTTCTTTCTTTCTTTCTTTCTTTCTTTCTTTCTTTCTTTCTTTCTTTCTTTCTTTCTTTCTTTCTTTCTTTCTTTCTTTCTTTCTTTCTTTCTTTCTTTCTTTCTTTCTTTCTTTCTTTCTTTCTTTCTTTCTTTCTTTCTTTCTTTCTTTCTTTCTTTCTTTCTTTCTTTCTTTCTTTCTTTCTTTCTTTCTTTCTTTCTTTCTTTCTTTCTTTCTTTCTTTCTTTCTTTCTTTCTTTCTTTCTTTCTTTCTTTCTTTCTTTCTTTCTTTCTTTCTTTTTCTTTCTTTCTTTCTTTCTTTCTTTCTTTCTTTCTTTCTTTCTTTCTTTCTTTCTTTCTTTCTTTCTTTCTTTCTTTCTTTCTTTCTTTCTTTCTTTCTTTCTTTCTTTCTTTCTTTCTTTCTTTCTTTCTTTCTTTCTTTCTTTCTTTCTTTCTTTCTTTCACCATTCCATCCTATACCTATGATTAAACTTTTTTTCCTTATCAATTCTTATTTACAGAGTGGGATCAACAGCTACATGTTTTTGTCCTCTTATAAGGAAATTGCTGTAGTTTGGAAGTCTAAGCCTTAAGAAATACTGCTGTGTATTGTTAACCTTCTTCACTAACCTTCCATGACTTAGCTCTTTGTTCATTCTTCCTTTCTTTTTCCTAAAGCAGCTTTCATTATTTTCAATGTGCTTTCAGAAGACCTCTAAATTTTATGACCTTTTCATGATGTCCTCTGATTCCTTATCATTACTGTGATGTACTTCTCTGAAATAGGTTGAAAGGTAATTAAAACAGTATTCCAAATTAAGCCATGTCACTGACTTAAAGATGAACATATTACTCTCTTTTTTTTCCTAATGTTTTCCATCCCATTTCTTACTTAATTTAATCTTTTTAGCTTCTTCAACTTTGCTAAATATTGAGTAGACCTTCTGCCTGTTTGTGGAAATATATACATATGTTTCTTAATTTAGAACTTTAAAATGTACTTAATTTCTCTGATCTTGTACTTCTTTTTGAGTTTAGACACTAAATGATGTGTATTCTTTTGTTACCCATTTAGTTAGTTTGTCTTTAAGTTTTCCTTAAGATTTTTGTATGGTTTGGCCTTGCCTATTGTAATCACATTATAGGCAGACTTTTAACTGCTCATTGCCCTTTCACATAATTAATAAATATATCAAAGCAACAGGGATGGGATTTTGAGATGCCATGCTGTTGATCTATTCTTTCAATGAAAATTTATCATTTAATCTTAATTCTGCATTTTTTCCTGATATTAGAATTTTTCATCTTGCCTTCTGACTACTTCACCTTTTAAAAGTCTTTCGTGCAAGATTTTGTTCAGTTTCCTCTAGAATTCTGTCACTGTGTCACAGCTGTCAGCTTGCTTAGCAGTTATAGGGCAATATGGGCAGTTTTTCTGTTTTGTTTTGGTAGTCTTGGTGCAAATCAAGGCTCTAGAGACTGTTTCATGTGCAAGAAAGAAAGTGTGGTGTTTTCCTGTAACAAGCCTTTGTTCTGAGGTGTATTAAAATTTCTTTGTTCTTTTGTTCTTTTGAAAGAAGTCATAATGCAAGTAAAATACCCATGATAATAGCAATAGGTAAATAATACCAGAAATTAATCACCTGTACTGACAGAAATATACCATGTATGTTTTCTGTTTCACCTAGTTAGGTGATTTCCTATTCATACCCCGTGACAGTGATGTAGACTGCACCTTGCAACCTATTTTGTGTGACTGTGAACTAAACTAAAAATGCTAATGACAAGGATGTTTTTAGGAATATCAGTATTTGGGGAAAAAAGTAGAAATCTATTCTTTCTATACCTCAGTGAAAAATTTTATTTTTTTTACTCTGTGTGTTAATTTTTTTTCCAGCTATTTGCTAGACTGGTAGTTAAAGTCATGCTTGTATTACAGAGAAAGTAGACCTTTCAGCTGCCATCTGAGGAGGACTAGAATAACATGTGGTATCGATAGGTGTGAGAAAGACAGATCTGTGGTGGCATAGACTTGAAAGACTGTTCTACAGTTCATACTCTTTTCTTTATGTTCTGTACCATCACTGAGAAAATGATAAAGATTGCACAAAACTGAAAATACTGAGACTGTTGTATATCATACAGCACAGGCTGTTACTTTTACACATACACATTGTGGCTGATAGTGCTATAATTTTTCATGAGAAAACTACAACTCAGAAAGTTGCTAAAAATATATTCTGTGACACTTCACAAGGTAAGTCTTAACTTCATCACTAGATGAAACCTTGGAAGCAAGTAAAGGAGGAGTGTCTATAAAATAATGTTGCAGGAATGGCTCTTGAATTAGTGATGAAGCCTCTTTATTTTTGTTTTCTGTTGTCTTAACTGCATCTAAGTATGCAACACTTGTTCAGGATTTTTTCGGTTGTAATGCAATAGACATCTGTAAAACTCAGCCACTGTTGGTCTTAGTTCTGATGTGGTGGATTTATTTTGCCATTTAAGACACACTTTTGGATATGTTATTGACCAGAGTAGTTTTCTAGGGAGCATGGAGGGAACATTTTTTCTGCCTGCTGAAACAGTAATAAAAATAAGGTAGAAACACCAGGAGACATTTTAAAATTTTAACCTGATTTAATACCTCTATTTCTTTTGCCTTTTGCCAAATTGATTCCCATATAGAGATATAACAAAAGGCCTTTTTAAAAACATATAATAAGCCTAAATGTGTCCTGACAACTGTTGCAGTTACTATTATCTTGTTCTGTAATTATGGCAAGTTTTCCTTCTTACAGTGCTGTTAAATCTGCTATTTAGAGCGAAAGTCCTTATCCTCTGCTTTGGCATTGCCTACAAGTCATTTTTAACGTGAAAAATTGATGTCAGTAAAAAATTTGCTTCACAAATGGCATTTGTCCACAAAATTACAGTGAAGTGGGTTGATTAAGTGAAGATGGCTCTGAAGTAGATTCACCCACTAGCTGTGTTGACTCTTACTTTGTTTCGTAAACATGTGAGGTATGAAACAAAGCCTTGTGTTTAGCTACACTAATACTTGCACAAAGATCTAATGTTGGCAGGCTGTTTAGGTGCAAGTGAACTGGTAGCATGAGTAGTTTTGATATCTGGCTGAAATTACATGAACCTGCCAGGGTAGATATTTTGAAATTCTCTCATGCTTACCTGTTCAAGAAACGTAGTAGAGAATCAAAATAAATCTTTACTAATTCAGATCTCATTTACATTTTCCTTTATGGAGAGGGACTACCTTGGAATATTTCCAAATAGATGGATTCACTTTGTGTGTATTTCTATTAGGAATGAGTTAAAGCATTCTGAATTTATTTGGACCGAATACTGTATGAAGTTAAAAGAAACAGAGGAGAAGATTATAAAGGATGAAAAACACCTTGAGGAGTTAGTGAAGCAAAAAGCAGAAATCCAGGAAGATGCAAAATGTTGGAACAGCAAAGTGAGTCTTGAATATTTATAAACAACCAAGTAAATGAGTATCTTTTATTGAAAAGTACATGAATGCCTGAATATTTTGTATCTCTAAGAGTTAAGGTCCTCTGTAAAAGTAAAAATATAAATATGGATTTAAAAATAAGAACTGATAGAGTCTATAGAACTCTCTTGTTCATTATTTTGTTTTAATCAGCTTTAATTATTAAAAATATCATAAACATCTTACAGTCTTGTAAGTGACCTGGATATTTTTAATCACTGGATGCATATCTGCTTAATATTACTTATATTCTTAAATCATCTGGAAGAAAGTGTGCATTTAGTGGGACAGCATAAGTGTCCTCTGGAATTATCAGATTTTGTGACCTGAGATGGCATGTGATACACTTCTACAGCATGCATAGTGATACCCTATTTTACTTAAAATTCCTGTGTTTTCTGCTATATTTGTCTAGAATTCACTTTGAAATTTTGTGCTTCACAGTCTAAAATCTGGAGTTCCTCACACTGCCTGACTGATTTTCAGTTAATTGACAGCTCCATGTGTGGAACCAGTAGAAAATGCCTAGAATGGGATTTAGATGCCCACAACAGAACCTGCTGTTTTTTCTATATGTATGTATATGTATGTGTATGTAAACAAGTGTAAATAGAATATGAAATCCTTCCTTTTGTATATGCCCAGTACCACTGTGGCTTGTGCATCTAGATAGCTAGGTCTTGCCAAGGCTCCAGTGGAATTCAGAATATAGGTGGAGGATTTCTGAGAAGCTGAATGTTCCAAACAAGCCCAGATCTTAATTAAAAAAAAAAAAAAAACCAAAAAAAAAAAAACCAACCAAACAGCAAGGCAGTCACCCTGCAAAAGTAAAGGTACAGTCATACGACAGTCACCAATGGGCATATTCTTGCTGGTTTTTTCCAGCTGTGTATTACAGTTTTCTTCCTGTTACTGATGCCAGCAATAGCTACCAACTGATAACTAGAACACAACTATATTCAAATAAAGCTAATGCTCATTAGTAAACCTTTTTTTTTTCCCTTTTATTTTTCTTTTTTCATGTGTTTCCAGCTGAGTTTGATGACCTGGAATACTTCAACATGTCTATCATCATGGCCAGGCTTTGCGAATGAAGATTTGGGAAGGGCTCTACCCACGCTTGCTACAAGTGCACTGGTGGCTAAAAAGGCCAATGCGAGATAGACAAGTCCGGTTGCAGAAGGCACAGCAGAAAGACTCCCCAGGTGATATCAATGAGACGTGATTCTTTCTGCGTTGTCTTTTCTCCTCGAGAGTGATCCTGCGTGTGTTCTCAAAAGCAGCAGCAGCGTTATAGATGGTGTGTCTCCAGGCCTCCCGATTCGAGGCCAGGGTAGACCAATGGTGGTGATCAATATGGCCAAGGCTGAGGGACTGTTTCAGGCAGTCCTTGTATCTCCTCTTTGGGGCTCCTCTCTTGCAGCAGCCAGTGGCAAGTTCCCCATAGAGCACGATCTTAGGGAGGCAGCAGTCCTGCATCCTGGAGACGTGCCCTGCCCAGCGCAGCTGTGTTCTCAGCAGCATGGCCTCAATGCTCGTGACTGCTGCCTGTTCAAGGACAGATGTGTTGGTCACACAGTCAGTCCAGTGGATGTTTAGAATTGTACGGAGGCAGCGCTGATGGAAGCGTTCTAAGAGACGCAAGTGGTGCCGGTAAATGACCCATGATCCAGACCCATGTAAAAGAGTAGACAGTACAATGGCTCTGTAAATGCTGATCTTTGTACTTTTCTTCAGGTGTTTGTTTTGCCACACTCTTTTATGGAGTTTACCAAAAGCTCTGTACGCCTTAGCTAACCTGTTGTCTGTTTCTTCATCAATCTTACCGTCTGAGGAGATGATGCTTCCCAGGTAATTAAATTGCTGGACTGATTTGAGCTCTGTTTCACCAATGGTGATATGGGGATGATGGAAGACTTCCTGAGGTACAGGGTGAGAGAAAACTTCTGTCTTCTTCAAGCTGACTTCCAGCCCAAAAAGCTCAGCAGCCTCTGCAAAGCAGGATGTTAGACGCTGCAGAGCTACTTCTGTGTGGGCGATGAGGGCAGCATCATCAGCGTAAAGCAGCTCACGGATAAGATAATTTAAGGTCTTAGTGTGGGCCTTCAGTCGCCTTAGGTTGAAAAGGCTCCCATCGCTACGACAACGAATGTAGACACCGTTTTCATCATCGAGGTCTGCCGAGGCCCTTTGGAGCATCATGCTGAAGAAGACTGTGAATAAAGTTGGTGCGAGAACGCAGCCTTGCTTCACACCACTGGCTATTGGAAACGGCTCAAAAAGTGCATCGCCATATCTGACTTGGCCACGCTGATCCTCATGAAGCAAGATGATCGTCTTAAGGAACCTGGCAGAAGGACAGCTCTGATTTCAAACCCTGGCAGATGGAGCTCGATTGGCCCTGTAAGATCATCCATCTAGGAGAAGGTTACTTCAGCATGTACTACCTGGGTATTAAGACCAACACAAGAGAAAGAGAGACATGCACAGCAGGTATAAGGTGGAGCATGGAACTGCTCTATTAGGTGGCCACCTTAGTTTATGCTAAAGGTGAACCACAGTTAAGTTTAGTGTAAAGCTGATTTGCTATTGCCAATTTTCTTCAAAAAGGTGGCTAAACCAATGAACTGAATAAATATTTATAAATAATAGTGATATTCAGAAAGCTCAAAGTGATTCTTCTAATCATCATGCAGAAGTTGCTGAGGTAATGGAGTTATTTTAGGAATAGGAAAAATATTGGGTTTATTTATTAGTGACTTTAGAGGGGCTTGAATTGGATCCAAATTATAACATGACAATTGTCACATACAGCAATAAGTTTGAAGACAGAATGAGTGATGTGAACTAGTGTTTTTCAACATTGTTTTTCCTATCTCTTCTTTCTTGTTTTAATTCATGCTGGTTTTTAAATTTTATATATGACCTATTAGGAGTGTTTCAACTTTGACACTGCAAGGACAACTCTGAGTTTTCTTTTATCATGTTACTCAGATTTACATTACAAAAGATATCTGTATGCATTAAATCTATTTTCTGTATCTACATAGGCTTTGCTTTTCAAAGATTAGAAGAAACCCTTCTTATAAAATTGATCTCATACTTAACTATTAATCCTTTATTCTTTTGTCTTCATTAATTACCTGCACAGTGTGACAGTATTTCAAGTCATTCCTGTCAAAATGTTTGCTCTAAAAACATTGGAAGAGGGAAAAGCATTTCTGCACAGCATTTTTCCTGTGTACTAGTAATTTAAAAACTGGGACATTCTGCTCATACTTACTCTGTTGTGGTTTTCTCCTCTGTAGATGTAGCTAATTTCTCCTGCAAAGTCTTTCTCATGCTTCCCCTGAAGTGTATTTTGACTCAGAATCATAGAATGGTTTGGGCTGGAAGGGACCTTAAGGATCATCTAGGTCCAGCCCCCTGCCACGGGCAGGGACACCTTTCACTAGTCCAGTTTGCTCAAAGCCCCATCCAACCTGGCCTTGAACACGACCAGGGTTGGAGCATTATATTTCTTAGAGTGTTTTGCATATTGAGAGTAATTTCAAATCGCTTTAGGCTGAAATTTATCATTCAAATTTTCTAATCTTTACTTAAAAGAAAAATAGCTAAAATTATGCAAAAGACAAAATATATACAATGAGGACAATTCTGAAATTCTGTTTTTGTTAACAGAAACCTCAAACCCCAAAATGTTTTGGTAAAAGCTTTTATAATTTTTTTTATATATTATATTTATTAATATAGACTTTGAAATACTGTTTTTCTCTATTTTCTTTGAATTCTTGTAAGATACTATGCACACATATTTTGTAACTCTTCATTTTGTTGATTTCAAATAGCTACACTTTATATTGTACATAATATTCTCAGTGCATTTGTAATATAATAAAAAACACACCACCCATCTTTTAGTTTTTTCTGCCTTTGGACACTAGATGTAGCTTTATGTAGCTGACTGGTTATCCTCTTTATCCTCCCAGAAACTTTGGATTTTATTGTCTGATTTCAGCAAAGTAATCTGAAAAGTTCTTTAAGATAATTAGGTTCTTACAAGTTTTGTAGAAATTGATGCCTAGATCCCAAAAATGCCATACAAGAAGTGCTGGAAAAGGGAGGGGATAAAAAGATCAAAGAAAGGAGGAGCTATGTCCATACTTCTTATTAATGGTCCAAGTCAGAGCTCATACCTTAACATTCCAAAGTAAATCAATGATGGGACACAAATGGATAATAAACCAGGCTTCATTAGTTCTGATGTTGATGGAGCTACTTGAGGGATTATTAGAACATTTTAAAATTAGTGATGGAGCTTTCCAAATTTATTATTTTTAATTTCATTGATATCTTTCTTGAAGGATAAAATTTTTATTTCGTCATACCTGCCATAATGGAGAGAGACCTTACCCATTTTGGAGGTATTAACTGATAAGCTGAAAGAGGAAACTCAGATTTATAAGGACATACACAGACAAATGCAGAGAATCAGGATTTAGAGGGGAGTTCTTGGAAAACAGATTTGAGAAACGTTATTACTTGAGACCATCTTGAGCACTAAAACTTTACAGGAACCCTAGAAACACTGGGCACATTCACAAGAGAAATCCTTAAAGTGTTATCTATTTCATACATAATTAGTATAGTTGTGAGTATACCCTGAATATTGTCCTTCTACAATTCATGAAATACCTGTGAAAGTTCAGATTGAAGACACAGAGAATGGTTGTGACAAATTCCAGGTAATGAAGGATTCTAGGAGCTAAATCTATTTATGTTTTCAAAGGATGATCTAAAGCTATCCTTTGAAGAGGAAATATCTTTGCAAATTACCATTTAATATAGTGCCAGGAAATAATGGGTTTAGGTTGAACATATAATTCAGTTCAGAAGTATTACCTTTTAAATCTTGCTTTAGTGGAAAAACAAGATTCTTAGCCTAATACAATCCCACATTTCTATTTATTTCTTTTTTATGATAATTTCAGTTTACTCTTTGAAGGATTTTCTGGAATGGTATTTTATCTGAACCTTTCACTCTTTCAATTCTACTTTCAAGACCACTGACCTAGGATGTAACACATCATATCTTAAAGGAGAAAAAAATTGCTAATCCTTCCTAAAAGTTAGAAGTTGTGTTTGTTCCTCTTAGATGTTACCAAGAGGACAAATGAAGAAGGTTATTTGTAGGTCTTTTTATTTGAAAGTCATCTTTTATCTTTTTGGAGCTCTTGACTGAATAACAAGTGTTTTAGCCAAAGGCTATATCTAAATATAGTAGAGGGGTCAACGCAGTGTCTCATGTTAGTCTAAGAGCTTGAGTGCTTGTTTTGATTAACTGTATGTATCCTAACAGAGCCCTGACAGGTTACTTCAGCAAGACTAAAAAAGAGTGACTGTCCACTTCCTACAAAGCTGCAAAATAGAGAATTGTCTGCTAATGTTTCTCCTAGAAAGGTTGGCAGTGTATCTTTCCTTGCATACTTGCATTTAGAACATGCAGTACATGTAAGAAATGCATATTGTGCTCACCTGAGATTCCAGAGGCATGTGGAGTTTAAATAGTCTCATTTCCTGTCCTGTGCTTTTTCTTCATATGA